TTCAGGAGTACAGGGATACACAGACACAGGAATACAGGGGTACAGAGATTTAGGGATACAGGAATTCAGGGATACAGGGATTTAGGGATTCAGGGATGCAGGGTCCAGCCCCACCCCAAGATCCTCCAGCTCACCCTCCCAGCACACTCAGCTCCACCTGTGAGGAAAAATGAGCAGCAGGAGAGCTGCAGCTCCATGGAATCGTGGAATATTTCGGGTGGAAGAGACCTGAAAGCCCATCTCGTTCCAGGTCCTGCCACGGGCAGGGACGCCCTGCACTAAACCAGGATGTTCACGCTGCTGTTTTCGTGTCAGAGGAAGAGAAAAACAGAGTTCCATGAGAAAACGTCTGGGCACAGCCCTCCTGAGTGAGGAGGTCACACCCAGAGCTGAAATAAATCTGCCAGGCCTGAGAAAGGGACACTTTATGGCAATCTGGGGAAAAGATGTGAGACCTTCACCCCGCTGCAGTGCTGAACCCAAGAGCCAGAATGAAAATTGTTGTTGTTGTTGTTCACACATTGCAAAAAAAAAGCTTGGAAATTCAAGGCTCTGCTGGGAGAGCTGGGAGTGCTCACTTGGAGAAGATTCCAGGGAGCCTTTAGAGCCCTCCCAGGGCCTGAAGGGGCTCCAGGAGAGCTGCAGAGGGACTGGGGACAAGGCATGGAGGGACAGGACACAGGGAATGGCTCCCACTGCCAGAGGGCAGGGATGGATGGGATACTGGGGAGGAATTCCTGGCTGTGAGGGTGGTGGGGCTGATGCAGGGATCCCAGCCCATGGGCTCCACTGCAGGATTCCCAAATAAAACTGATGTGGCACAAGGAATTTATGCCCACACAAAAGTTTGTTCTGGGTCTCTCAGGTGTGTTTGGTCTCACTTTAGGTGATTCTGCCCAGCCCTGCTGCTTCCAAGCTCTCAGAACCCCTCACAATGACAGGGAAAAGCCACAAATTACTCATTTTGGGTCTCAGTGTTGGGAACCAGGCTCTGATTTTAAGCCTTTGAAGTTTGGGATGCCACAAACAATCCCTGGAAAAGGCTGATCCCTCTTTCAGAATGGAATAATTCTGCTGTGGGGTGACCTGAAGGACTCAGGGGAAAGGTTTCACAGGAATATGTGGGGATGCAGAGGAGCAAAACCAGCTGCAAAAGCAGAAGGCAGCAGTGGTAAAGCCAAATGTGACATTTTCCTGTGTCATGGGAAGCCCTGGAACCACTGCAGAGCCAGATGGGAAGCCCAGCCATGCCATGTCCCCGTAAGTCACTTCCTTGGCTGATTAATTTAATCCAATTTAGCATGGATCACACCCTCTGGAGCTCAGGGAGGGTTCATGTGCCTGGAAAGGCAGCTCTGCTTTGCTTCCAGCATCCCAAAGGTCTGGAGCAGAAATTCCACAAGTGCTCTGCAGGCAATCTTCAAGGTCCCTTCCATCCCAAACCACTCCATGATTCCATGGCAGATTTTGGGCAAGGTCCCCACTCCCTGCACCCCCAGGCACTGTGGAAAGTCTCACCATTTTTAGGAAGCCTGAGGGACAGCTCTGTTGTCTCCAAGGAACAGCTCCTCCCTCCCTCCTGCCCCGCAGCAGATTCCCAGATGGAAATGCAGGATTAAAGACCTGCCTGGAGCTTCCCTGCGCCAGCAGGTTTCCGGTGTGGGAATAAAAAAGTCATTAAGGCTGGCACAGACAATGAAATGAAACTTTGTCATCGTGGATTTGAGCTGAGCAGATGCTGAGGGAGCTGATGAGAGGCAAATTAATTTGCTTTTTCCGAGGGCTCCTGCGTGACGTTAATAAAAGCAGCATTTTGTGCAGGCTCACGGCTCAGGATGCAGAGATTCCCAGTCCCCACAGAGCCCTGCTGAGGGCCCTTTTCTCCTCTGGAAGCAGTGAAAGGAGGAGTTTTTTTATTCCAGAGCCTGGGTGTAATCCCTGGCCAGCACAAAGATGTGTCCTGGCAAAGGGACTCTGCTTAAGGGGTTCCTCTCCTTGCAATCTCCCTTTTATTTCGGCACTGAATTTGATCCAAATCATTTCCCTGAGCCTGCCTGCCAGGATTGCTGCCCTGCTGGTGGGGACAGTGCCCCTCCTGCAGCAAAAAGCCAATCCCAGGGGATGGATGCTGGGAGGTTCTCTCCCAGCCCTGCATTTCCTGATGAGGAGCCACAAACCTCCCAAAAAAACCCAGCAGCCGCTAATTAGTGGTCAGCAGAGGAGCTGGGGGCTGGCAGGAGAGAATCCTTGGATTCTGGGAGAATCCTGCCTTTGGACTGTGCCACGGGTCCTGCTGGGCTCCCCTCCCACCCTGCCACATTCCCTGGCGCGCTGGTCCCTGCAGGATGAAACCTCCTTGCCATTTCCAACACTTTTCCCATTTTTAAAAAATGGTTTTTCTATCTTTTGCACTCCAGGCAGCCATTCCCTCTGGATTAGAGGAGAATTAGGCAACTGGTCCTGAAATTCCTGCGTGAGCAACCAGGTCATGACCATCCAGATAAATAAAGCTCAAGGACCCAAGGCTCTTCCTAAAGTTTTTGGCTCCTTTTCCAGCTGAGCACACCCTGAGACATGATGGGAGCCCCAAAACTGAACCCACAACGTGCTTTTCCTCCTGCTGTGGGCACGGCTGAGGGAATAATTTGGGAAGGGACCACTGTGCCCTCCCAGCGCTGGGTGGGATGGTGCCAAATTTGGGTTCCCAAGGTTGGCACCAGGATTCATGGCGTTCCATGGGTGTGGGGAGCACCCCAGCTTCACCCCCATGGGCAGGCACAGCTGGAAACCCCATCCCTAAAATTCCACACCCCCTCCAAAGCCCCCCCCAGCCATTTGGTGCTGCCAAAAACTCATCTGAGCAAGAGCAGCCCCTGGCTGGCATCTGCCCACACGCCTTTGGGAGGCCAGGAGACTTCCTGTGGACGTTGGCTGCCTGACAGAAGTGACCTCAATTCTGCCTTTTTTTAGGGTGGGTATTTTGGGGGTGGTGTTTTGATAACAGGTGGGAGCTGTGCCTGCCTCTCCCTGCCTGTGGGATGGGCAGGTTTTAGGGAAGAGCTCAGAGATGGTGGGGGGGAACTCTGTAGCTCTGGTAAAAAATGTCATTGTGGATGTGTAAAATACATTTTAGTGCCACTTTTTAGGAAATTGGAGGCAGCCACTTCCCCTCTCCTGCTGCCCTCTCCCCCCATTCCCGTGGTTTCATCCCACATCCAACACATTTCCTCCAGGAGCCAGATCTACCCTGAGGAGCATCACAAGCACAAACCCACGCATGATTCAGCAGGCTCCTCTGAGAGACATTTATTATTTAAATAATAACTATTTTATTTTTTATTTTTTTTAAACATCACCTCGACTCACAAACCACGGAAAAGCCCCAGACCTCGGCACCTTTGGGCTCCCTGAGCCTTATTATTTAAATAATAACTCTTTTTATTTATTTATTTTTAACATCACCTCGACTCACAAACCACGGAAAAGCCCCAGACCTCGTCACCTTTGGGCTCCCTGAGCAGAGCTGCAGCTCCCAAATGAGACTCCACACTGGGAATTGCACAAATGCCACTGGCTGTGCTGGATGCTGCTCAAATGGGAGCCACAAGGAAATTCCTAATGGCAGTGGTGGCCTTGGGATGTGGAGCTGGGTGCTCCTCATCCCAGTGGGAACGATCCCGGAGTCCCAAAGAGCAAGAGGAATCCCAGAAAACAAAATAGTGGTGCTGAAGGGGGCTGCCCAACGGGGCTGGATTGATGAGCTGGGTGGTTTTGCAGTTGTTTTTTTGCTTTTATTGATTTTTTTTTTGAGGTTTTATTTTAAATAAATATTCGTCCCAATCAAGGACAAACCCAAACCCCACCAGCAGCACCACCCTGGATGTGGGTGAAGCTCACGGCTGTGACCATTCCCTGGTCAGGCTCTTTATTCCCTTTGTTGGCTCTTGCAAAAATCACGGGACAAAGGGAATTTCCAAATGGGTGCTGAGGAGGGGCTGCTCTGCTCCAGCACAGCGCCAGGGAAATGCCAAAATTTGGCTTTTTTAGTACTTTGGTGCCCCTCAGGGACCCACCAGTGCCTAAAATCTCAGGGGTGTAGCACGGACAGACAGACAAACAGATATGAGCCCTGAAAAGTGCATCTCTTTAGGCAACCAGCCTAAAATAAGCGGGAATTTTTGAGGATACACTTCTCCCTTCCTCTCCTTCCCAATCCTCATGGATCTGGGGGTCCAGATGGGTGTTTGCAGCCACCCAGCCCCATCTCCAGGAGCTGGAGCTCTGCCTGCATCCCCAAAACCCCACGGAGAGCTTGCTGGGAAGCACACCAGCAGGAACCTCTGCTTCCCAACACCCCGCAGCCGTGGGGCTCCAACAAAACCCCCCAAGCCTCCCCAGCAGGGCTGAGCCCTCCTCCAGCCCTAAGGGCGCCAGCAGCACCCAGGGACTCGCCAGCCCTTCCAACCTGGTCCCACTAAAGGGGGACTGCACTTTTGTCCCTGTGAGAGGCCGCAGTGACTTCCCAGGTGACACCTGAGCCACCCCCAGTGTGCCCAGGCTGCAGAGCCACATCCTGGTGAGCCCTAAGGCAGAGCTTCACAGAATCACAGAATCACCAAGTTGGGAGAGACCCTCAGGATCACGGAGTCCAGCCCAGCCCCAGCAGCTCAACCCAGCCCTGGCCCCCAGTGCCACATCCAGGCTTTGTTAAACACCCCCAGGGATGGGGACTGCACCACCTCCCCGGGCAGCCATTCCAGAGCTTTATCACCTTTCTGGAAAAACCTTTTCCTGATACCCAGCCTGTATTCCCTTGGCCCAGCTGCAGGCTGTGTGCTCTGGGTGTGTCAGTGCCTGGAGACAGAGCCCAGCCCAGCTGAGCCCAGCACCTTCCAGGAGCTGGGCAGGGTGAGGAGGGCACCCCTGAGTCTCCTTTCCTCCAGGGGAGCACCCCCAGCTCCCTCAGCTGTTCCTCTCAGGATTTGTGCTCCTCACCACCCTCATTTCCTCCTCTGGGTGCTCTCCAACATCCCAACATCCTCCCCAAAGCGAGGGGCCCAGAACTGCCCGTCGGGAGGCAGGATGCCCCGGGCCCTTGCCGCGGCAGCAGGCGCGGCGGGGGCCGTGGGGCCGAGCTGGCAGCAGAGCACGGAGCGCATGAGGCGCAGCACGGGCGGCCGCAGGATGGCGAAGACCCAGGGATCCACGATGGAGTTGATGGACAGGAAGCGCAGCGCCAGCAGGTCCCACTCGTGGTCGCCCTGCTCCTCGCGGAACTTGTTGACGTAGGCGCGGATCTGCGGAATCGGGGTTGGAAAGAGGATGGAAATTTGTCTCGTTACGCCCTCGGTTCTGATAGGTGGGGTTCAGGTGAGGCACGTCCACAGAATTCAGGGGATTCACAGAATGAGAGAATTCAGAGAAATCGCAGAATGACAGAATCAACAGAATCACAGGATGACAGAATCACAGAATTCACAGGAATCACAGAATGACAGAATCAACAGAATCACAGGATGACAGAATCACAGAATTCACAGAATGACAGAATCAACAGAATTCACAGGAATCACAGAATGACAGAATCACAGAATTCACAGAATTCACAGAATGACAGAATCACAGAATTCACAGAATTCACAGGAATCACAGAAAGAATGACAGAATTCACAAAATCACAGGATGACAGAATTCACAGAATGAATGGAGTCACAGAATTCAGAGAATCACAGAATGACAGAATTCAGAGAATCACAGAATGACAGAATTCAGAGAATCACAGGATGACAGAATTCACAGAAATCACAGAATGACAGAATTCACAGAATTAATGGAATCACAGAATTCGCAGACTCACAGAACCACAGAATCACAGATTTCACACAATTCTCAGAATTCACAGAATGACAGAATTCACACAATTCACACATTTCACAAAATTCACACAATTCACACAATTCACAGAATCCCTGGGTTGGGAGAGAGCTTCAGGGTCACGGAGTCCAACCCAGCCCCAACAGCTCAACCCAACCCTGGCCCCCAGAGCCACATCCAGGCTTTGTTAAACACCCCCAGGGATGGTGGCTGCACCACCTCCCCGGGCAGCCATTCCACAACTTTATCACCTTTCTGTAAAAAACCTTTTCCTATTATCCAATCTATATTCCCCTTGGCACAGCTTCAGACTGTGTCCCCTGGTTCTGTCAGTGCTGCTTGGTGGAGGTGCACCCAGCCTGGTCTGGAACCCTTCCAGCCACAGCTTCTCTGGACAACCTGTATCAGGGCTTCACCACCCTCACAGTAAAGGATTTTTTCCTGATATCCCATCTAAACCTCCTCTCTGTCCTCTCTGAATCCGTTTCTCCCTGGTCCTGTCACTCCAGGCCCCTGTAAAGAGTCTCTCTCCGTGTTCCCTATAGCTCCTTTCAAGTACTGGAAGGTCATAATTAGGTGACCCCAAATCTTCCTCCTTTCCAGGGTGAGCAGTCCCAATTCTCCCAGCAGAGCTGCTCCATCCCTTTAATCAGCTTGGTGCCTCCTCGGGACTCACCCCACCATCTCCAGGTCCTTCCCGTGCTGGAGGGACCCCGGAGCTGGACACAGCACTGCAGTGGGGTCCCACAATCACCTCCCTCAGCCAGGGAGGAATCACAGGCAGAAACAACCCCGAGTCTGGGCCGCCAAAACCTGCCCCCCAGGCGGCTCTTTTGGGGCTGTCACAGCAAATTCGCTGACTCCACGGGTTTTAAATGAACTTTAAATGCCAGCCAGCCCCGTGCCGCGCTCGGCTCAGAGCCGCGATCACTTCAGAGCCTTCCTCTGCGGCTGCGGAGGAAGAGGCGTCTCTCACCTTGCGACCGCACGGCACAAGGACCGTGCGAGGCGATGGAGAGGATGAGCCTGCGGGACCCCGCGGCTCCCCCCTGCGCCTGCCGACTCATCCCGGCCAGGAAGGGTGACTCAGCACTCCTTACTCACCCGGGCCACCCCCTCGCTCCGGGCTGGGACACGCTGCCATGGGGCCGGGCGGCAGGAGCATCCCTGCCCTGCCCGCCATCCGCCGGGCACGGCGCAGCCACGCAGCTTTTCCAAAGCTCCGCTGTGTTTTGGGAAGGAATTCGTGACCCCGGCGGGGTTTGTGTGGCTGGGATCCTCCTGGGAGGAGCGGGGACAGGAGAGAAAGTGTCACCCGCAAGGAGAGCCCACATGGGAGGCGGGCGATGGGAAAAGGGAAGCTGGCTCTGGATCAGGCCATATCTGCCACCACAGGGCCCTGGGATCGCGGCCAGGGCTGCTTTCCCAGCCCCTCTGCCCCCAGCACACTCACAGGGCCCTGCCCACCGTCCCCTCCGGGGGTTCCGCTCCCTGCTGGCCACAGCAGCCAGCCCGGGGCTTTTTTGGGACACAGGAAGAGCTGTCCATCATCTGCGGGTTCATGGTCAGGAGCTGGAGTGTCTCTCAGGGCACTGAGGCTCCTGGGATGCTCACGAGCATCTGGACATTATTCCTTTGTCTGAAGCCCTGGCTCGGCCGTATCCTGTGGTTATTTCCTTTTCCCTCAGGAAAAGCAAGGGAGGATGAAGGGAAGATAGAGTCTGTTTAACAGCAAGAGTGTGAAATTAGCACTGGCTGTGCTTCCACACTTCTTCAGGGACCAAACTGACCCACACTGGGGCCTCACACACCCAGGCTCTGGAGCCACCGATGCTCCTGGTGGAAAAGCACTTGGATGGATGGATGGATGGAAAGTGGCCCTGGGGAGGAAACAGCCCAGACAGAGGCAGGCCACTCGCTCTCTCCACTTCTTCACTTGGCTGTTTTGATGCCGGATTTCTGCTGGATGCCTCGTGCATGGATGGGGCACGGGATGTGGGGATGTCCCTGGGGATGACACGTGCTGTGGCTGCCGTGCCAGATCTCTGTTCCCAGAAATCTCCCATCTCTGTGCCAGCGCCTCAGCACTGTTGCAGAGGAGAAGAAAACTCTGTCTGACAGCGAGGTGGGCACAGCCTCTCACATCTCCAGCTCCATCCGCAGAAATCTGGGATCACTCATCCTGCCCAGCATGGACATCCACCGCCTCCAGCCCAGGGCAGCTCCTTCATCCCCTCTCTAGAGGTGTAATTCATTGTTTTGCCATTCCTCACACCTCCACCATGAGTTCCTGGATCCTGGGAATCACAGTGATGCCGTGTGGTCCAGGGGACCCTGCCTGAGCCACAGGAGCCTCTGTGGGGTGGGAGGGCACCTCTGCTCCTGCCATTCTGTCCTCCTGGCACCCCATTCTCCTGTCAGACCATCCTCCTGCCACTCCATCCTCCTGTCACTTCATCTTCCTGCCACTCCATCCTCCTGCCACACTGTTCTCTTGTCAGACTATCCTTCTGCCATTCCATCCTCCTGCCAGACCATCCTCCTGCCACCCCATTCTCCTGTCACACCATTCTCCTGCCACTCCATTCTCCTGCCACACCATTCTCCTGCCACTCCATCTTCCTGCCACTTCATCTTCCTGCCACCCCATTCTCCTGTCAGACCATCCTTCTGCCACTCCTGATATCCCATTCTCTTGTCAGACTATCCTTCTGCCATTCCATCCTCCTGCCAGACCATCCTCCTGCCACCCCATTCTCCTGTCACACCATTCTCCTGCCACTCCATTCTCCTGCCACCCCATTCTCCTGCCACACCATTCTCCTGTCAGACCATCCTTCTGCCACTCCTGATAGCCCATCTAAACCTCCTTTAAACCTCCTGTCGCTCCTCTCTGCTGCCATCCCATCCTCCCACCACCTCATCCTCCCGCCACACCATTCTCCTGTCAGACCATCCTTCTGCCACTCCTGATAGCCCATCTAAACCTCCTTTAAACCTCCTGTCGCTCCTCTCTGCTGCCATCCCATCCTCCCACCACCTCATCCTCCCGCCACACCATTCTCCTGCCATTCCATGCTTCTGTAACCCCATTCCCCTGCCATTCCATGCTCCTGCCCCCCGTGATCCTGGCACCCCATCCTCCTCCTGGCCCTGGGGACACAGGGAGTGATCCCCCCACTCCCAGCTGATGTGCAAATTACCAAGCTCACGGCTGAGCTGGCCTCTCCCAAGCTTTCACCCCAGCCCTCGAGGTCTGCCCAGCACACTTGGGGGAATCTTTCCAAAGACCAAGAACAAATGTGTGCGCTGGGGAGAGAGAACAACCAGCGCCACTCACCGTGAAGGGCAGGGAGCAGATGACGAAGGTGATGGTCATGATGGAGAGCAGCAGGAGGTGGTCGATCTCCTCGGCCATGGAGAAGATGCGGCGGCCGCAGCCCGCGGCCGCTCGGGGCTGCTCGCTGCCGGCCAGCCGGCGGCTCCGCTGCCCGCGCCGGTGCATGCGGGCCAGGTTCACGATGACGCTCAGGTTGCACAGCAGCACGGCCACGATGAGGAAGAGCAGCAGCGTGGCGTAGAGCAGCGAGAAGGTGACGTCGAGCCCCGCCGCCTCCCCGGCGGCCCGCTGCGGGTCCCGGTGCATCTGGATGAAGCACCAGGTGCCGGGGCAGTACTGCACGTAGCGCCCGAAGCCCAGCAGCGGCAGCGAGCACAGCGCGGCCGAGAAGCTGTAGATGGCCGGCAGGGCCACCAGGCCGGTGCGGGGGCTCAGGAAGCGCTCGTAGAAGTAGGGTCGCCCCAGGGCCAGGCAGCGCTCCAGCGCCATGGTGAAGAGGATGAGCATGGTGGCGAGGCCGAAGAAGCTCATGGCGAAGCCGAAGTAGAGGCAGATGTGCCCTCCGCGGGCCAGGCTGGTCAGCGTGAGGTTGCGGTGGTAGGAAGCCAGCACCAAGGGGCTGACGGAGCAGGTGCCCAGCAGGTCGGTGAGCACCAGGGCCAGCACCAGGACGTGGAACAGCGCGGGCGGGCGCTGCCGGGCGCCGCGGCGGCCGCGCAGGAGCAGCCCCAGCGCCAGCAGGTTGCCCAGGAGCCCGGCCGAGAACATGAGGGCGCTGACCAGCGGGCGAGCCCCGGCCGGCAGCGCTGCCCCGTCGCTCCCGTACGCCCGGCCCGTCCCGTTCATCCCGCGCCGCACGCCCGACTGCGCCGCCGGCCCCCCCGGCACCGGCACCGGCACCGCCCGCCCCGACGGCACCGCCCCGCCCCGACGGCACCGCCCCGGGCCCGGCACCGCCCCGGGACCGCGATCGCTGCTGGCATGGACCCGGCGGAGGCGGGGAACGCCACGGAACGACCTGGCCCGACCGAGAGCCCCGGTAGCGGTGTGGGAGTCCGGACACGGCCAGTGATGGTGCGGGTCTGAGAGTCCCGGTACCGGTGTGGGAATCCCGGACACAGCCAGTCCCGCTACCGGACCGAGAGTCCCGGTACCGGTGTGGGAGCCCCGGACATGGCCAATGACAGTACCGGTGTGGGAGACCCGGTACCAATCCGGGAGACCCGGACACAGCCAGTCCCGGTATTGGTCTGAGAGTCCCGGTACCGATGTGGCAGTCCCAGCCACGGCCAGTGCCGGTACCGGTCTGAGAGCCCCGGTACCGGTCTGAGAGCCCCGGACACGGCCAGTCCCGGTACCGGTCTGAGAGCCCCGGTACCAGTCTGGGAGCCCTGGACACGGCCAGTGCCGGTAGTGGTCTGAGAGCCCCGGTACCGGTCTGGGAGTTCCGGACACGGCCAGTGATGATGTGGGTCTGGGAGTCCCGGTACCGGTCTGAGAGCCCCGGACACGGCCAGTCCCGGTACCGGTCTGAGAGTCCCGGTACCGGTCTGAGAACCCCGGGCACGGCCAGTGACGGTGCGGGTCTGAGAGCCCCGGTACCGGTGTGGGAGTCCGGACACGGCCAGTCCCGGTACCGGTGTGGGAGCCCTGGACATGGCCAGTGACGGTACCGGTCTGGGAGCCCCAGTGCCGGTCCGGCCGTGCTGGGGCGGCCCCGGGATCGCTGGGACAGTCCCGGTGTGACCCAGCCCCGCTGCCCGACCGGGAGCGCCTCTTACGACCTGGCCCGGTGCTGGTCCAGGAGCCCCGGTGCGGCTCCGAGAGTCCCTCCCGTGGCCAGCCCCGGTGCCGGTCCCAGAGCCCGGTGTGGCTTTGAGAGCCCCGAGGCACGGCCGGTCCCTGTGCCAGACCGGGAGCGGCTCCCACGGCCAATCCCGGCACGGCCCCAGCAGTCCCGGTGCCGGTGCATCAGTCCCGGTGCCGGCCCAGCAGTCCCGGTGCTGGCCTGGGGTCGCTCTCACGGCCAATCCCGGCACAGGTCCGGAGTCCCGGTGTGGCTCCTGGAGCACGGAGTCCCACCCTGTCCCGGTGCCAATCCCGGGATCCCAGTGCCCGTGCCAGAGCCCCTGGCAGAGGCTCCCGGGGTGCTCTGGGCCAGCTCCAGTCCAGCCTGAGAGCCCCAAGGCACAGAACCCCGGTGCCCCCCGAGCCCAGCTGAGCCCGGGCTGTGCAGGGAGATTCCCTTTGCTCCAGAGGAACCCACGGAGAGCTCCCTGCCCCGTGGCTGGCACCAGGCCGTGTCCCCATTGTCCCCCTCTCCTACATGTCATCCTTGGTCCCCAGGGGGGTGCAGCCTGTCTGGCCATGACCTTAAAGCCCTTCCAGTCCCACCCCTGCCATGGGCAGGGACACTTTCACTTCCCCAGGCTCATCCAAGCTGGAGCACATCCAGGGGTGAGAAATCCACATGCTCCATCCCAGTGGCCTCAGATGCCCCCTCCATCCTTCAGGACACCAGCCCTCACTCAAGCTGCCTTTACTGAAGCACTTGGTAACTCCCAGAATAAAAAACCCTCTTCCCTCCTGCGGCCCTGGGGCTGCCCCGAGAGCTGGAACAATTTAATTTCAGATTTGCTCGGTGCCCCTCAGTGTGACACTGCAGCAGGGCTGGCAGAGCGGGGACGCAGGCACGCGGGAGGCCGTGGCTGTTGTTTTAAAACAACTTTTGTAACAGGAACTTCGCAGAGGAAATTGGGGGCCGGGTGAGCTGCGGTTTGTGACAGCACCTCCATCTCTGAGGGGCCACTCCCAGGCCCGGCGTGGCGTTCCCCTCTCACACAGCTCAAAGGCTCTTCAGTGTGCTGGGGAGGACGAGGTGGCACAGCCACGGCCCCAGCTCTGCCCCCACGGTCAGAGGGGACGGTGTTTGAGCCATCCCAGACCACCCCAGCACAGCTGGGCCACGAAAACACAGCCCAGGAGCTCTTCTAACCCTGCTTGCAGCCCTGATCCATGGGCACCCAGACACACGGACACATCTGCCGGTGGGAGCCATCCTGTTTGATTCCAGAGGGTTGGGTGGCACCCTGGCACCTCCAGCCCTCCTTTGTGCCTCCCACGAACCCAGCTGGGGCTGAATCCTGCCCTGAGCCATGCAGGCAGCTGCAGCCTGCCCGTCCAGAGCCTTTTCCGAGCAGCAGGAGCCCTGTAGGGTGCTCCAAGGCTTTTCCCAGCCTCCCACCCCTTTGTGGCGTTCCCTGGCACAGCTCAGGAAGGGGTTTTGGCTTCTTCTGGAGCTCATTTTCCTGGCAGCCTAATGGAGCCTTAAATACCCTTCTGGGGCTTCGGGCTTCTCCACTGACAGTTGTCTCTGATGGGATTTTTCTGCAATAATAGGAAAATTGCTGGGCTTTTGTTTTTTCATTCCCCCTTCTGAGCTGGAACCAGGAACAGGCTGCTTGGTACAATCTGTCCTGCCTTGGGATGTGTTTGTTTTCTTCCCTTTGCTTCCATGTTTAGCTCTTGTCCTGCCTCTAGCGAGGGCCATCTCAAATCCCAGAATTATTTAAGTTGGAAAAATTCCTCTTGAATTGAATTGAATGCAACCATTCCCCCAGCACTGCCAAGGGACATGACCCATGTCCCCAAGTGCCACATCCTCACAGTTTTTAAATCCCTCCAGGGATGGGGACTCCACCACTGCCCTGAGCAGTGGAATTTTCTCCAATATCCAATCTGAATCTTCCCTGATACATCTTGAGGCCATTTCTCCTTGTCCTGTCCCTGTTCCCTGGGAGCACAGCCCGACTAATATCCAATCTGAATCTTCCCTGATACACCCTGAGGCCATTTCCCCTTGTCCTGTCCCTGTTCCCTGGAGCACAGCCCGACCCCCCGGCTGTCCCCTCCTGGCAGGAGCTGTGCAGAGCCACAAGGGCCCCTGAGCCTCCTTTGCTCCAGGCTCAGCCCCTTCCCAGCTCCCTCAGCCTCTCCTGGAGCTCCAGTCCCTTCCCAGCTCTGTTCCCTGCCCTGGACACGCTCCAGCCCCTCATACATCCTCTCAAGGTTTGTTGGCATTGATGTCCCTAGAAGAAGATTTCCAGGCTTGGCCCAGTTGGAGTAAACTCTCTGGGCTTGCAGGAAAGTTTCATGAGCTTCGCAGAGAGCTCTCAGCCTCTGGAGTTTGCTGCCTGTGGCTGGGGAGGGTTCTGGGACCCTGCTCCATCCCTGGTGGATTTTAAAGGGTGGCTCTGGCACCGGGGGCGTGGAGGAGCCCAGTGTGAGTGTGAGTGTGAGTGTGAGTGTGAGTGTGAGTGTGAGTGGGTTTCATCCCTTCTGAACCAAACCCCCATCTTGACTTGAGCTTCACAAATCCAGACAACGCTTCTCTTCCAAACCTTCCCAGCCCTTCTCTGGTGCTCCAGAGCTCCCGGCAGCCTCACTCCCCACCCTGGGCAGGCAGGGCTGAGCACTGGGCCAGGTTTTGGTGCTGTGATCCCGTACCAGCAGCTGGGTGGGTGGGTTAAAAAGCAGAGGAAGGCTCTGCTGGGCAGGCTGGGGCTGTGGCAGCCCTGGCACTGCTGCCTGCCCGGGCACGCGCCTCCCTGCTTGCAGAGCAGCTCAAAAATGCAGGAGGCATAAAAAAAAAAAAATTTTAAAAAAAGGGCACTTTGCAAGAGCGAAACAATTTGTCGGGAAGTGAGCTTGAGCAAAGTTGTGCCTGGATTTCACGAGCTGAAAAAAAAAAAAAAAAAAAAAGCCCAAAACACCCCAAGAGTGATTTATGTCCAGGAAAGGAGCGGAGAGAGGTGATGCTGGTGGCAGCAGTGACAGCGTGGGACAGGGCAGTGCTGCAGGGTGACAGCGACATAAAAGAGCCCCCAGAAGAGCACGGCTGGCTGCAGCCCCGAGCTGAGCAGCCTCTCTTTTATCCCTCCATTAGCGCCAGGTCCGTCCCTCGGGAGCGGCTGGCACGGGAGAGGCTGGCACGGGAGAGGCTGGCACGGAGGGTCCCCGGGGCAATGACTGAGCCCTGCAGGAGCCCGGGGGGAGGATGCGCTCGGGGGGGGCTCCACCGCAGCTCTCCCCTCCCCAGCTGCAGCTCCCGCAGCTTTTCGGTTCTTGTTCAGCAGCATTCACAACCAACCCGCGCGCTGTCGGGATTTTTTCATTTCAATTCTTATTTAATTTGTATTTCCCTTTTATGTTGATGGTTCCCAGGCTCGGTAAGGAGGGGATCTAAGACTGGCATAACTCCTGAAGCCCCTGTAGGTGTCGAGGCGCTGAAAAATGGGGTGCCCAGGGGAGCAGCTTGGGGTGGAGAACATCCCTGGGCTCCTGGTGCTCGGGAGCCCGGCCCTGGCTGGGGACGTGCTGCCATCTCTGGCGAGGACGGGGACACGGCAGCCCGGGGAACAGCCTGGAGTTTGTTATCAGCCAGGACTGACCCTCCTGGAGGCTGCCCTGGCCCAGAGCTCGCTGGCTGCGGCCGCTCGGCTCGCCCGGAGGCAGCCGGGCTGGCTGGAGGCTGCAGGGCTGCTCCCACAGCACAAGGGCAGAACGCGATTAAAAGTGCTGCCCGAGCCACAGGAGCGTGTCAAGGTCGCTGGGAAAGGTGTGGTCCCAGCCAGGGATGCTGCAGGGATGGGGCGTCACTCCTCGATCCATGGATTTATTTCCCGAGATGATAAAACCACGGATGGGTCAGTGGTGAGGAGTTTGCATCGTCTCGGGGCTCAGGGGGAGTCTATTTTTGCACCTTAACAAAGAAGCTGAATTGGTTTGTGTTGGTTTAATTACTGATTTCCATGGATTGTGGTTACCCTGGGATCTAAACACACACATGACGGGCCAGGGACCTTTCCTGGGCCAGGGATCTCTCCTGGGCCAGGGCCTCTCCAGGGGTGAATCCTCACAGGCACCAGGGGCAGATGATGCCCTGCACACCCAGAATGCCCTCAGAAATCTTATCCCACCTCAGTGATCATTCCATGATCCTACACCAAACACCCCCAGCCTGACCGTGCCTGCTCCGTCCGTCCCGGATCTGTTTGGGGGAGGAGATTAATCCCAGTTTAGGGGGGACAACAACAAAGTTTTCCAGGGCTGTTATCTCATCTGGCTGCAGTGGAACAGATCCCAGGAAAGCCACGGAGCAGGCTGGGAGCTGTTGACTCTGCAGCCCCACGTGAGCCATCTCCAAGTCAATACCATGCCAGTAACATGAAACCAATCCATGAACCAGCCCTCATTTCCTTCTTTCTCCTCGGAAAACCCCGAGGAGAGGCACGGAGCTGGCAGCTCGCAGGTGCCCCCAAAACATCCCCAAATGCAGCTCTGCCCTTTTCTCCAGCTGGGAGAAACAGCCAGAGCCAACCCCAGCAGGTCACCTCCAAAAAGCTCCAAGATATTGTTCCTTCAAAAGCAGAATCCGTTTGACACCAAGAGTAAACATCACGTGAGAGCAGGCAGGAACACGGCTACACCTTGCAGGGCTTAGCTAAACACAGGAGAGAAATACCCTCTGTCTCCTCCAAGGGCACCAAACAGTTGGTCATCGTCATTTTTTTTGGCATAAATGGCCACTTGAGGCAAAAATTAGATCCAGTTAATACCTGTTGAGGGGAAATGGATCTTCCATTAAAACAATTGCTCTCTTGCACGCTTGCAGCGAGAGCTTGTGCACGCCAGGCTCTGTGTTCTCTCAATTACTGCTCTCATTAAGGCTCAGGAACAGTCATAAATACCGAATTTAAATAATTACAGCAGAGCAGGTAGGGCTGAGGAGCACAAATGCAACATCAGTGCTCGGAGCTTTCCAGAGAAGAGCGAGATAAGGGCGGACAAACCCCAGCCCTGCCTGGGGAACAGGGGAGAGCCTGGGCAGGGGTGGAGGCTGTGCCAGGGAGGGACTCCACCTGCAGCCAGCTCCTCCTCACACCAGCAACTGCTGCTCGAATTTCTGAGTCCCTCCTGCCCCTCACCCAGTCTGGGACACCCCAGACCCATTCCTTGGCATGGAATGGGATCGCGCACGGGCCAAGGTGGTGAAACGCTGAACCACTTTTATTCCACGGGGACACACCCCCACCTCTCCTCCCTGTGCATCCCCTGAACCACGCTCCAAATCCCTTCTGCCTTCCCGGAGCCGGGCTCTGCCCCAACCCTCCACAAAACGCTGCTGGCTCGGGATATTCCCACATCCCCGGCCATCCCAGATCCTCTGCGGGGCGAAACGCAGCCTGGGGAGGGGACAAAACCCCTTCACAGCGTCCCTCGCAGCGAGCCGGACGCTGTCCCCTCCTGCCATCGCCTCGGGATGCCCCAGGGCAGGGCTGCGGGGCCGAAGGCTCGCTCCTCATCCTCGCCAGCAGCCGCCGGCTGGTGCGGCAGCGCGGCGCTCAGGGGATGCCGAGCGGCGGCGGGTCTGTCCTGCGGCAGCCCGGGGGACAGAACTGGCTGTCACCGGCAGGGCTGGAGCCCTTCAGAGAGGCTCTGCGGGAGCCCAGCCGCCGGCAGAAGCGGCGCACGAAGGAGCGGAAGACGGAGGTGCGGAAGATGATGAAGACCCAGGGGTCCACGATGGAGTTGACGGAGAGGAAGCGCAGCGCGCTCAGGTCGGCGTTCTCGTTGAAATCGGCAGCAAAAGCTCCCATGTAGGCTCGGATCTGGCCAAAAAAATATACAGGGAATGGGAGAAGGTTAGGGAAGGTCAAGGAAATAGGGGGGGATTGCTGTGGTGAGGGTAGAAATATTCCCAGGGCAGCAAAAGAAGTTTTAACCCCACAGATCACATGTGGGTTGTGGATCCAGCTGGGAATGGGGCTGGGTCAGGGATGGGCCTGGCTCAGGGACAGCCACATCAGGATAAGGATGTTAGAGCTGGAAATGTGGTCCCAGAGACCAGGATTTTTCATGGATGAAGGAATCATCCAGCCTTGGCAGGTGCTGCTCTGTCCCCAAGGCTGGGGCACCCCACTCGTGCTGATCCCCCTCTGCCATGGAAATTGGAGCTGGGATCTCTTGGATAACCCCAGGGATTCAGCCTGGGGTGGTGACAAACCCTGAGGGAGCCCGGCTGTGCCAGGGCTGCTGGTGGCTGGTACCTCACAGTACGGCTCCAGAGGTGGCAGGAAGAGGATGTGGAAATTGTCACCCGTGCACACCTCCCACCCTGGTTTTGGGGTGGCCCTGCCTGTGGCACCAGCTCTGCCTGCAGAGGGTGATGGAAATGTGGAACTGACCCAGGGGTGGGGCACAAAGGGGGGTCCCTCCTGCCGGGGCTCTCCCACCCCTGGGGAGGAAGCGAGAGGGCTCCAGGGGGGTTCACAGGGAGCTGGGTCTGCCCAGGAGCTCTGGGACACGGGGGTGGGAATGGGGGGCTTGAGGGGTCTGATGGGGTGGGAATGGGGGGGAATTGAGGGGTCTGATGGGGTGGGAATTGAAGGGTTGATGGGGTGGGGATGGGAGGTTTGAAGGGTTGATAAGGGTGGGAATGGGGGATTTGACAGGTTGATGAGGGTGGAAAAGGGGGGTTACTGAGGGGTCTGATGGGGTGGGAAGGGGAGTTTTTTAAGGGTTTGATAGGGGTGGAAATGGGGGCGTTTGAAGGGTCTGATAGGGGTGGGGGATTACTTGAGAGTTGATAAGGGTGGGAATGGTGGGTTATTGAATGGTCTGATAAGGGTGGGAATGGGGGGTTTTGAGAGGGTGATAGGGGTGGGAATGGGGGGGTTTGACAGATTGATAAAGGTGGGAATGGGGGGGTTTGAAGGGTAGATAAGGGTGGGGATGGGGGGCACTGACACCCCCCTCCCAAAGCTGAAACCCCTCCGAGCAGCAGAGGGGTGGGGATGGGGTGGGGGTGGGTGTTGTTCCAATGGAGCTCAAGCAGCAAACTGATCCCTGGGATGGGGAGGGGACCCTCAGAGGGGACTGAAATAATCACCTGACCCCCCCCAGCTCCTCTGGGGGGTTGTTTTAGGGGGTAAAGCAATGAGCTGAGCCCTGGGGATGTGGTGCTGGGATTGGGAATTCCAGGGAGGTGCAATGGAATGGCCCTGCCTGGGACAGAGTTTGGGAGGGGGGGCAACTATTCCAAGGAAATTTGAGCAATAAATCAACCCCCCATGGGGACAGGGTTGTGGGGTTGTTGTGGTTATTCCAGGAGGATTAAGCAATGAATTAATTCCTCCACCCCAAGATGGGTGTTGGACATTATTCCACGGGGGTTAAAGCAACACTCAGATCCCTGGGATAGGGTGGGGGGCACTCAGAGCGGGGACAAAATAATTAACTACTCTCCCCCCAGTACCTCTGGCACAGAGTGGTGCTGCTGAGAGAGTTATTCCATGAGGGTTAATTAAAGGATAATCTTTAATTACATTTTAACATTAATTAATTAATTTATTATTTATTATTATATGAATTTAATTTATTTAATAAATTTAATTTATTTAATGAATTTAAAGAAATTGAGGACTGGGGATGTGGTGCTTGTGTGGAGGGTGGGCAACCTCCCAGAATGGGAAAGCACAGCCACAGGGGGGATTTATTCCAAGGGGATTCAAGTAATAACCTGACCCTTGGAGAGGATCCTAGAGGGTGGCAGGGGTGGGTAACCCACAAGGGACTAAAGCAATGATCTTCTGGCACCTCCAGGAGTGGGTGGTGGTTCCAGAGTTTATTCCAAGGGGTCCAAACAACCCCTGACCCCTGTGAGTGGGGCGTGGTGGTGGTGGGGGGGTTATTCCAAGGAGTTTTAGGCAATGACCTGGTCCCTGTGGGCAGACTGGGGGAGGATTTAGAGGGAGGCAAAGCCTCGGCCCCCAGGAGCTGGTGGTGGTGTCAGGGTTTGTCCCGAAATCAGAGCTCTGACCTCTGCAGGACTGAGTGGTGCTGGTGGGGGGGGTTTAACAACAGCCTGACCCCCCTGGATGGGGTCAGGGACCATCCCAAGGGGGCCAAATCATCAGTCCAGGAGATGGTGCTAAGGAAGGATGTTTTTCCAAACGGATCAGTGCAATGGGGCGTGGGGTGATGAGCATTTGAGGGGGCCCAAAGCAGCCACCCAGGGGCAGGGCTGCTGGGGGGGCTATTCCAGCGTGCCTGACCCCCATGGACAAGGCGGGGGGCTATCCCAAGGGTGCCAAACCACCCACCCAACCTCCCTGCCGGAGCACGGCGCTGAGGAAAGGCCGCTTCCCACGGGATTCCACCCACCACCAAACCCCCAGCGAGGCACCAAGGCGGCCGCGCCCCCTCCCCGGGCGCAGCGCGGGGGTCCCGGGGGGCGCTGGGCTTACTCACGATGAGCGGCAGCGAGCAGACGGTGAAGAGCACGGTCATGAGCGCCAGCAGGACGAGGTGGTCGAGCTCCTCCATGCCGGGGGCGGCGGCGGGGGCGGCCCCGCGGCGGGGCTGCCGGCGGGCCATGCCGTACAGCTGCCGCATGCTGCTCACGTTGCACGCCACGATGGCCAGCACCAGCAAGCCCATCAGGCTGGCGTAGAGCACGGGGAAGGCCAGCTGGCCCGGGCCGCCGCCGGCCATGCGGATGAAGCACCAGGTGCCCGGGCAGTACTGCATGGGAGCGCCGAAGCCCAGCAGCGGCAGCGCGCAGAACAGCGCGCACAGCCCCGCGGCCGCCGGCCCCAGCGCGCAGCCCAGGCGGCGGGTCAGGTGCCGCCGGTAGAAGTAAGGGTGGCCCAGCGACAGCCAGCACTCCAGAGCCATGGCCAGCAGCAGCAGCGTGGGGGCCAGCCCGAAGAAAGCCATGAGGAAGGCGAAGAGCTGGCACAGCACCCCCGGCTGCTCCTCGCCGCGCCCGCCCGGCCCCAGCTCGCTGAGGCTGCGGTTGTAGGCGTAGGCTGCCAGCACCATGGGGCTGATCAGGCACTTGCCCAGCAGGTCGGTGACCGCCAGCGCCGTGACCAGCACGTAGAACGCCGAGACCCGCGGCGGGCGGCCCCCGGGCGGGCGGGAGCGCCGGCGGTGCTGGCCCAGCAGCAGCAGCGCCAGCACGTTCCCCAGCAGGCCGGCGGCGAACAGCACCGAGCTGGGCACGGCCGACTGGCCGCTCTCGATGTGGCGGCTGCTGCGGCAGCGGTAACCCCCGGGCTCCATGCGCCGGGATGGGCGGCCCGGCAGGGATGCTCCCGGTGAGCGGCCCCTCGCACCGGGCCGGCAGAGAGCCCCGCGGCGCTCCGGGGCTGTGGTGGGTGCGGTGGGATGGATGTCCAGCTGCGGGATGGATGGATGGCACCGGGACGCGATGGGACGGACGGACCGCACCGCGCCGCCGCTGCCGGTGGCGACTGTCCCGGCGGGGCTGGCGGCCCCCGCCGCCGAGGGAGGGAGGAGGAGGAGGAGGAGGTGCGGTGTGAGCGGGCACGGCCCCCGGGACAGCCCCTTCTCGCCGCCCGGCCCGCCCCGAGCTCCCCCGGGACGAGCGGGGCTCCCGGCAGCAGGGAGGGGAAGGGCCGGGGGTGAGTGAGGGGCTCCGGGAGGAGGCAGGGAGCTGCAGCTGAGCCCCTGGGGGTGAGGGTCGCGGAAAGGGGACAGGGCTGAGCCCGGGGGGCTGCGGGTGCGGGGACCGAGCCCCTGCGGGGTGACAGCGCCGGGGGCTGGGGCTGAGCCCGCGGGGCTCATTCCCTGGGGCTGTCACAGGACAGAAGCCAGCTGGAAGCAGTGCAAAGTGTCCCTGCCCGCGGCGGGAAGAACGGGATGGTTTTCCAGTCCCTTCCCACCCAAACAATTCCGGGATTTTAGGATATGATTCAACCCGAGCGGGTGCCACATCCACCTGCAGCCCATCCCGCAGGTGTGCCCTGTGCTGCCGGCCCTGGCAGGGCTCCTCTGTGCCAGCAGCAAACCCCGGGAGAAGCCCCCGCAGCTCCTTTTTCCAGGAAAAGCAGCTCCGACGGCAGCAAAACGCACAGAGCGCCTCGCAGGATGCATGTGATGGTGAATAAGCGTGGAAGCGTGCCTGTCTGCTTCCAGACCGCTCTTTGCTGCTCCGGATGAGTGTACACGGAGCACAGGGAAGTGTCAAGATGACAGCAGGGCCGGGAAGGGAGGTTTGAGGGGCCGGGCAGCAGCGCGGCAGGTTTTGGTGGTGGGCTGTGTTTCCTGTCGCTGGTGATTCCTCCAGCAGCGAGGGCAGGGACTGTTTGTGGCAGCGCAAGGGAAAGTCCCAGGTCCGGAAGGAATCAAGATAAAACTCAGCTCTCACCCACGGCTGGTGTTGAAGTGCTGCCCTCGTTAGGGCTGAGCGTGAACCCAGAGGCTGCTTCCTGCCTGGGGCCCCCGGGGGGAGGAAATTCAGGCTGCCCTGGGAAGCAATCCGGGTGATATCCTCCAAAATAGCTCCTGGAAAACACCCAGTGCCTTTACTGACTCCGCACTCTGCTCCCTGCGGGAATCCCAGCAGCAGGGAAGGGGGGGAGGGAGATGTGCTGGGATCCCTCAGCTTTTCCCGGGATGAAGATGGGCAAGGAGAGCCCAGCACCTCTGGAGAGCTGATTTAGCAGGAGCACAGCGCCCGTCCTGAGCCCTGGAGCAGCTGGTGCCAGCCCTGCTGTGACGGTGGAAATGCCAGGGAGGAGCCCCTGGCACAGGTGCCCAGAGCAGCTGTGGCTGCCCCTGGATCCCTGGCAGTGCCCAAGGCCAGGCTGGATGGGGCTGGGAGCAGCCTGGGATGGTGGGAGATGTCCCTGCCGTGGCAGGGAGTGGGAACTGGCCGGGCTTTGGGATCTTTTCCAACCCAAACCATTCTGGGGCCATCCCAGGGATGTGACCCTGCTCACTGCCACGTCTGCTCCGAAGGGGAAGAGGCTGAAGGTCTGGGCTGCTCCCCCACCACGGGAAAGTCCCTTCACAGCCACCAGAAGGCCGAGTCCAGCGGCAATCCAGCACTTGGCAGGAGGAGGAGGAAGAGCTGTGGCAAAGCCCAGCCCCTCGTGGAGCAGCTGGAACCCCGAAGGAGCAGGGGGTGCTGCTGCTCCTGACCTTGCACTGCTCCGTGGGGAGAGCCTGGATGGACAAGGGAATTTTTGGGACCACCAGGGCGTGGCTCTGATGCTCTGGGAGCAAGCACAGGAGGTTCCACCCAGTGCAGGTGTGCCTGGGGGTGTCAGAGCAGGGAATTTTGGATTCCTTCCCCTGATGCTGAGGATGGCCAGCCACAGTGCCTGCTGGAACCCCTGCATGATGAGAAATTCAGAAATTCAGAAATTCAGAAATTCAGAAATTCAGAAATTCAGAAATTCAGAAATTCAGAAATTTAGAAATTCAGAAATTTAGAAATTTCTGTGCTGCCAGGCTCTGACCCCCAAGAGAACACTGCACTGACCTGAGGCTGTGGAGAAGCTTCCAGAATGGAATGACAGAGCTGGGATTGTGGGTTTGTAATTGGAATAGAAGCGTGTGATATCACAGGGTGGAAAACTCAGAGTTTAAGCGTTTAGAATATAACAATATCTAACCATACCAAGCAAGATGGAGATTTTAGGGCAGAGGCTGCTCCTTCTTCTTGCTCTCTGGAGGGTCTGTGCCTTTTAACACACAAAGTCTAAAATTCTCAGCGTGCAGGGTTCCAACAAGTGCCCATCCTTCCCTGGGAGGGGATGGATGCCTGGAGCCAGGCTCGGGCTGGGTGGGTGTCCAGCCTGGAATGTGACCACAGACTCCTCTCCCTCCTCCCTCTCCTCTGGGAGAGAGCCTGGCGTGGGCAGCCAGGTTGCATCAAATCCCCATTTAGCTCTTCCTCGCCTCTATTTGCATAAATTGCAGCTATTAGAGGAGGGGAAAATTATTTGGAGAAAGTCTCACCGGCAGGGATGACGAATCTGCCCCGTTCCTTCGTCACGCTTCCGACGTGACCCTCTCCTGGCTGCTCACATTCCTGGTGGAGAGGGGGGTGGGGAGGGAAAAACCGGAGTAAAACCAACCCAAAACGGAAGAAAAAGCAGCCACAAAACCCAGAGACAAATGAGGAGCTGGAAAAACTTGAAGCATCCGCAAGGAATTTTAGTTGTTTGGTTTTTGGGGTGTTTTTTCCAAACTTTTGTGGACTCCTTGCCAGATTTTGGTGAGGAGCTCCTGCCCCGCTGCTGTGCTGGGTTTTTTTTTTTCTTTTTTTCCAAGCCTGGCTTTTCCCAAAGAGCTTCTGCTGCTCAGAGGAGCCGTGCCCTGCTCTTTGTCAGGGATTTTCTTCCCGCAGCTCGGCGCTCCCTTTGGAAATGTTTGTCCCGGTGTCTGAAAACCCTAATTTAGATCCCTGGGTTTCGGAAGGCCGGGAATTGAGGCTCTGGCAGCTCCTGCTGGACATTCCCGGGCCGGGAGAGCCCTGCAGGGAAAAGCCTCTTCCAGCAGGGAACGCTGCCTCCCCTGCCCGGAGCTTCCAGCCCCGGAGCTTCCCCAGCTCTGCTTCCCCCAAAGCGGATTCCAGCCGTTCCCTCTTTCCAGGCGGCGGGATTTGGGATTTGGGGGATTTGGGGATTTGGGGATTTGGGATTTGGGGGATTTGGGGATTCACAGCCCCCCGGCGCGGGCAGGAGGCGCTGCCGCTCCAAAGGAGGCGCTGAGAGCTTGGGGAGGCAGCCAGGGATGGGGGACAAGGATTGGGGACACCTCAATTGGGGTTTTCATCCCTCAGAACAACGGGCTTTGGGGTTTTTCTGGTTTTTCGGAAGGGGTTTTTTGGGGTTGGTTTGGTTGTTTTTTTTTTTTTTTGGGGGGGGGGTGGGGTTTTTTGGTTTTTTTTTTGTTGTTGTTTTTTGGGGTGGTTTTTTGTTTTTGTTTTTTTTTTTTGTGGGGGGTCCTTGGTTTTGGGATTTTTTGGGTTTTGGAGTTTTTTTGTTTTATTTTTTTGGGTTTTTTTTTCTTAGTTTTGGGATTTTTTGGATTTTTTTAGTATCTTTTTTGAGGTTTTTTTTGGGTTTGGGTTTTTTTTTTGTTTGGGGATTTTTTGTTTGTTTGGGGGGGTTTTTTTGTTCTTTTTTTCTGTTTTGTTTTGTTTTGGGGTTTTTTTGGGTTTTTTTCCTTCTTTGTTTTGATCTTGGTTTTTGTTTGTTTGTTTATGGGGCTTTTTCTTTTTTTATTTGTTTGGGTTTTTGTTTGTTTGTTTTTTGAGTAGGTTTTTTTGGTTGGTTGGTTTTTTGGTTTGTGGGTTTTTTTTTTTTTTTTAAATTTTTTTTTTTTTGGGTTGTTGTTTTTTTGTTTGGGTTTTGGGGGTTTTTTTTTGTGTTTGTTTTTTTTTTTTTTTCTGGGAAGATGCACCGAGCACCTCAGCCACGCCCAACCCCCCGATTTAATTTGCCAGAAGCAGCCAGAGCCCCTCCCCATCCTGCCGGCGGCAGCAGAGAGGAATTTCGGAGCACAATCCCTCCTCGGGAGAGGCAGCATTTCCCAGGGATAAAAACCCTGGGAAAACGGGAATTGTGCCGTGGGGGGCGCCGGGGGCTGCCAGCAGCTCTTCCTGCCACTTTTCCAGGGGCTGCCGGCATCCCACTGCATCCCACTGCATCCCATCCCATGGATCCCATCTCATCCTAATCCATCCCATCCTAATCCATCCCATCCCATCCCATCCCATCCCATCCCATCCCATCGATCCCATCCCGTCCCTCCAGGAGCAGGAGGGAGGGATGGGAGGGATCAGCCCTGGGATAAGGAGAGAGGAGAGAGGGAGAAAGAGGGGGAAAGGAAAAAGAAAAAAGGGGGAAGGAAAATAAAGGAAGAAGGAGAGGAAAAAGAAAAAGAAAAGGGGGAAAGGAAGGAAAGGAAGGATGAGAGGAAAAAGAAAACAAAAAGGAAAAAGAAAAGGAAAAAGGGAAGGAAAGGAGGGAAAGGGAAAAGGGAGAAGGAAGGAAAGGAAATGAGAGGAAAAGAAAGAGGAAAGGAAAAATAAAAGGAAAAGGGGAGGGGAAGGAAAGGAAAGAAAAGAGGAGAGGAGAGGAAAAAGAAATGGAAAAGGAAAAAAGGGGGAAGGAAAGGAGAGGGGAGGAAAAAGGGGAAAGGAAGGAAAAGAAGGAGGACAGGAGTGAAAAAAAAAGGGAAAAGGGAAAAGGGGAGGATAGGGAAAGGGAAGGGGAAAGGGGAAGGGATGGGATGATTCTTAAGGTCCCTTCTATCCCAAATCCATCCTTCCTTCCCTCCATCCTTTTTTCCCCTCCATCTCTCTTTTCCTTCCTTCATGAGCAGCCCGTACCTCCTTGGGAAAAAAAATAAATCCTCAAACTATTTGAATTTCAGTTTAAAGGGAGAAGAATCCCGAGCTAAAAAAGAAAATAAAATCTCAGGGAACATCATAATTCAATCCAAGCGGGC